TAGATAGTAATAAAATTAAAGATATATAACTAAAGTTTATTATACTAAGCAAAACTAACCTATGCGCTAGATTAACCTACGCACTAGTAGAATACGTTAAGTATATTATAAGTAGCTAAAAGTACTTCTGCTACTTATATAATATCTAAGAAGAGTAGTAGTAGAGGTAGTTAAGAAAGGCTCTAGCTAGCTTAATAATACTATAGTAATTATAGAGAGACTAGATATAATACTTATATATATTAGAAAGATATAGAAGAAGATTTTAAATCTAATATAGCTACGTTATATAAAGAATCTATAAAGAGTAATATGTTTTATAACTAAGTTATTAACTTAACTAAGTTATTAAGTTTGCTCTACTAAAATGCCTGCGTAGTAATAATACGTTATATCTTAATAATATAACGTATAGAAATTCTATACTAAAGAAGATATATTTCTTACTATCTCTAATATTATATTAAAGCAGATTTAAAGTAAAAATTATGCTATAATAATCTATAACATTTCCTATATAATAGTATATAACTAATATACTAGAAGATGCTCTTAATATAACTATAAGCTAAATATAAAGCGCTTAATAAAACTAAAAGAGAAAGTAATTATAGAGCATATACTTAAGTATTCTATATGCAGTCTGCTTATCTTAAAGGTAGATATATAAGATATAGCTAATAGACTGCTTAGAGAGTACGCTAGTAAGCCTATTAGTAAGAACTAAGTTAATAACTTTATTAAGTATACTTCTAAGCTATATAAGCGCTAAAGCTATCTATATAATTACTAGTAAGCTGCCTATAAGAACCTAGTAATTATCTAGCTCTAGTTTATACTAGTTTAGAGTATAAAGAAGAAGTATAGAGTTATATATAAGAATATATATAACTTTAATAAGTCTAGCTTCTTAATAGATAAGATATTCTCTTAGCTTATAATAATAAGTTTAGAGAAGCCTAAGAAAGTAAAGAAGCTCTAGCTTAGCAATTATAAGTAAGTTATGCTAATATAAAGCATTAGCATAATAAGAAAGATAATCTTATTTTTTCTTATCTTTATAAGCAAAGTTCTTATCTTAAACTAGTTCTATAACCTCTTATATAACTAGATTATCTAAGTTAGCTCTACTAGCTAGATAAATAATAATCTAGCGCTTACTTAGCTTAAATACTTTAACTCTTATATATATTCTATTAGAGTATATAAGCTGCTTATTATTAATAGCTATAAGAGCTATTACGTAGTAGAATTCTAGAAACGCTATAAGAAGAAGAAGATTATTACTTTCTATATACCTGCGTACTTATTATACCTCTTATAGCTACTTAATATTATATATTTCTTACTATTAAAGCGTATATATAGTAATAGCATCTTAGCCTTAGTATATAGTTATATCTACTATATTAATAAAAAAACTTTTCTACTAATCTTTAAAGTTACTTTTAAGAAGACGTTTATAGCAGAGAACGTTTATATAGAGTTTTAAAGCGCTAAACTAGTTCTATATAGCTTAGAGGTAGTATTATTAAAGCTTAATATATGCCTCTATACTCTACTATTAATAACTATTAAAGATAGTACCTAGTAGGCAAAGATACTATATAACGCCTATAAGATAGAAGCATAGAGTATACTTATTTAATAGAGAGTATAAAACTACGTAAGTTCTATAGTAAGGTTAATAGATAAAAAGATTATATAGCTAACTAAAGATACTTAGTAAATAGCGCATAATATAGTATTAGTGCAGAAAGAAATAACCTATCTTTAAGATACTATAGAAGCAATAATAAAGCGTAAAGTATATAAATAATAATATATATAAGTAGAGAAGACTTTAATAGTTAGTAAGATATTAGACTTAATTACTATAATAGCAGAGAACTATTATAATAATAGTAATAAACTATTAAAGAGAGTGCGCGCAGAGAAGCGCTATAGCACTTATAGTAAGACTAGATATAATGCCTATATCTATAAAGTAGAGATAGAGAATATAGAAGATAGCAACGCTTCTAATAAATAATATTCTTATATTTATAGTATATAAATTTATTATAGTATTGCGCTACGTTGCTGCGCAGGTATTTTAGTAGAGTAAACCTAATAACTTAGTTAGGTTAACGACTTAGTTATAAAACACGTTATAGAGTAATTTTATATTTTATATATAGTATTTATAATGCTAAGAAAAAGTAGCTGCTTTAGTAACATAGCTGTCTTAGTAATTAAATATATTAGTTATATTTACTATATTAATAAGAAAACCTTTCTACTAGCTTTTAAAGTTACTTTTAAGAAAATATTTATAGCAGAGAACGTTTATATAGAGTTTTAAGATACTAGCTTAGCTTTATATAACTTAGAAGTAGTATTATTAAAGCTTAATATATGCTTCTATACTCTACTATTAATAACTATTAAGAATAGTACCTAGTAAGCAAAGATACTATATAATACTTATAAGATAGAAGCGCAGAGTATATTTATTTAATAAAGAGTATAAAACTAAATAAGTTCTATAGTAAGGTTAATAGATAAAAAGATTATATAGCTAAGTAAAGGCGCTTAGTAGATAGTATATAAGATAGTATTAATATAAAAAGAAATAAGCTACTTTTAAGATACTATAGAAATAATAATAAAGTATAAAGTATATAAATAATAATATATATAAGTAGAGAAGACCTTAATAGTTAGTAAGATATTAGACTTAATTACTATAATAGCAGAGAACTATTATAATAATAATAATAGACTATTAAAGAGAGTATGCATAGAGAGGCGCTGCAGTACTTATAGTAAGACTAGATATAACGCTTATATCTATAAAGTAGAGATAGATAATATAGAAGATAGCAACGCTTCTAATAAATAATATTCTTATATTTATAATATATAAATTTATTATAGTATTATGCTATGTTGCTACGTAGGCATTTTAGTAGAGTAAAGTGCATAACTTAGTTAGATATACGCTTTAGTTATAAAATATATTATAGATTAGTTTACTTTAGTATTTAATTAGTTAGAGTAGCTGCTATTATTATAGTATCTATAGATTTATAACTCTTTTAATTATCTTAAGCTCTTCTTACTCTTAGTAAGAAGATATTCTAAAAATTAGCCTATAAACTATTATTATTATCTAGATTAGTAATTAGTATATATACTCTCGTCAGGAAAAGTGAAAAGTGTCTAGTTAGTAGTATCGCCGCAATTCGCCGTCAATTCGACAGATATGACGATTTAACAAAGTCGCCCTAGTTACTTTTTTCCGACGTCAGGTCGACGTCGGAACAGTCTAGTTACTGTCCTCTACTGTTTAGCACTGTGTAGCTACATTGCTCAACTGTGCTTAGTCGTTAGACTTAGCATACTAAACATTCTGTATACTCTGTAAAGAGCAGAAGAGGTAGACTACGTTAGTTGCGCATATTTTATAGGCAGTCTAAGTCCTCTGTGCAAACATAGCTGCAGCTATTAGGCTTACTCTGTCCGTAATCTAGTGCTATTAGAGATAGAGTCTTGTATCTGCAACTACGTGCAAGCTAGTTCTGCACAGTCAGCAACTGTGCGAGACAAGTGTTGTTACTCTAGGAACTACAGCAGACTTAATGCATTTCGGAAACACAATTATATAGCTATTAATTGCTAATTTGCTCTACATTATCTATTTAACTATTACACAGTACTATATAGGTCAGAGCAGTTTATCTCTTCTTTGTATCTTTCTACTAGAGCGTCGCAGTCTTCTAGCTCTAATTCCCATTCGTCTTTCGTCAGCGCTAGGGCGTGTATAATGCAATTATCTATCGTGTATTCCTCTGCTAACATAGCAAACTTGTCCTACGTGCTGTCCGTCATAATGCTCTAACCTTTCTCTTTATTCTAAAACTATACTTGCTCGTCGTCGTTATGTATTACACTTTCTATAAAGTCGTTAGCTCTATAAAACTCTCTAAGTAATATATCGTGTATTTCCCTCAATAATTCGCGCAGTCGCACTCTAGTCTCTTCCTGTTATCTGTTAGCTTTTGCCCTTATGTTATATTAGGCATCTTGCCTCTCTCTCGTCAGCCTCTATATCTTTTCTTATTACTGTAACCGGTTCTGCACTCATCTATAGTAAGGATGTTGTCTTCTCGTTTCCCTGCGCAATTATAGTCTTCTATTAATATATTATATTATTGCCGCTCATTATCTGTACATTTCATAAGAATGTTATTAACGTCGTTGTCGTAATAGTCGTCTAGCATAGTAACGTTAGATCTAGAGTTTTCAATATAGTTCGCGTATATAGCTATTTGTTATTTTAAAGCGTCCTAAATAAGGAGACAGCGTATCTTGCTTAGCCTTTTCTACTTCTTGCAGATAGCGTTATAATTATCTATACTATATTAGCTATCGTTGTTTAGTGCTGTTATAACATACTCTCTATAGTATAACTATGGAAATAGATTATCTTCCTTATTCTGTCGTCGTAGTACTCTTTAATAGCATTATATAACACTGTGCCTATAAGCGCTATTATGTTAGCGCTTAGGAACTAAAACTTATCCTAGTTCCCTGCTATAGCACTGATACTCTATTTTCTATTGTTGTAGAACGCTCGCGCTATAATAGCCGCAATTGCACTATTTAGGAACTAGGGCGACGCGGGCTATTACTCCGTAAGCTAATGCTATCGTGTCCTAGATTAACTTATATTCTTAGGATCCTAGCGCAGGTAGACAAAATCCTAGAGCAGCTTACTTAGTTTAAGGACTCGCAGTTTGAGATAGTTTAAGGCATATGCAGCTATAACCTCTATGCGTGCCTATCTTATTATATGCGTCCGCAGGTCGCTGCATATGTCTAACATCTAATAAGTACTATCAGCTATAGTTATAGACAGTCCGCGACTGTACTTACTTAGCAGGCTGCACTCCTGCAGGGCGTAGTCGCTATAGACGAGCAGACTAGCAGAGGCGCTGTTTTCTAAGCCTCTAACTATGCGTCTAGCATTAGCTGTGCGAATACACTCCTGTGAGCATCTAGCTACGGATTAACAGATATACTACATAGCGTCGTCCCGTCGTTTATTAACAACTACGATAACAATATTACCTAAGCCTTATTAAGTGTACTTTCGTATTTAGGTTGCACTAGTTCTCTCGTCCAGCGTTTTTATGTTCTCTATAGCATTTAATAAAACAGGTCTGCTAGATAAGACAGTAGAAGAAAGGCTTATGCATGTAAGTTAACGTAAACTACTTTAGTAATTATAGTGTCTTTGCTTACATTGCACAAAACGCAGTGCGTTCTTCTATATTTAAGAGGTATGCCGCGTAGCAGCAGTGTTCTGTTTTAGTTTATATTAACTAATCGTTTTTATTTCGGCTTAATATCCAGTCTCTATAGATTAACTAGTGCGCGAGGGTATAGGCGTCCCTTTATTAGAACCGGCATATCTTCTAGGTTCGTGGGTTTAAGACTATATAGAAGTTGCTAAGTCTTATAAGTTTGATTGTAGTATAGTCTCTTGTAATAAAGACAGTAGAGTTGCGCTTTGCATAGTTCTCAATTTCTATGATTCTTAGTCTTGCTATTAGTGTTAGTGTCTGTCTCTCGATACAGACCTTTACGCTCTCTTATGTCTAACTAAGCGGCCGCGCCCTCTTTACAGGAGGTAGTGCTACGCCGCTGCGCACCTGCTAGTTTCTTATATTCTTTACTATAATTACGCGTTTTTCTATATAGTACGCAGGTTCATACTAGTAAAGAATCGCGTTTAGTCTGCAAAGAATTAGTTATATCTTAAAGAGTATATTAGGGCATGTAGATACCTCTAAATTGTTGCGCTCTCTATACGGTTTTGCAAGGGGTTATCTGCTGTGCTGTATAATTAGTAGATATACCGTCGTTAACTGTCCTCTAGTATCGCCTATAGTTAATTCCTGTTAGCACGTCTTAGAGGCGCTTATCTATTGCCTTGTTAGGTCTATTCAGCTTAATTTGTTTGAATTACAGCTGTGTTCCCAGCGTTATTAGTACACCTAACAATACAATATGTCCGTAGCATCGAGGAAAGAGCACAGCGCAGGCTTTAGCTTAATTTTCCTATAAGGACTCCTCTAAAACGTTTTTCTTAAGACGCATATCATATTAATAGTTTAATTACAAATGTAGCTCTATAGAGTTTCGTTGCAACTGTATCTTGCAGTGCGCTATGCTAGCGTGCTTCTGTTAATATTCATATACGAGTCTAACTATCTGCTGTTTTCGTGTAGTAGTATATGCTACTACGTTTATCCTTAAACTCTACCTCTCTCTCAAGTGTCTGTATGAACTGTGTATAGTTAAGGCTACTAATATCTTTGTATTCTGTTGCTAGGTCGTTGCGCATATACAGCAGTTAGTCTGTTTATATAAGGATCTAATCCTGTTCGTGTGCACTAGCTACTAGAATAGTTAACAGTTAAGGAGCGTTATTTATAGTGTTAGACTATCTAGCACTATAAACTACAGCCTTAGCATATCTATTATTGTTCCGTAGCCTAGTCTTAGGATTATAGTTACATCGCATTTTGCGTTGCTTAGAGCGCATCTGTTGTGTTGCATTATAATTACATTAGACTGCTAAGTACGTAATTGTACGTAGGCAACTATTAGGCGCTGTACTTTACAGTAGGCTATTCTATCGTAACGCAACTATTCTCGCTATCTGTCTAATGTGCTCTTTTGCAGTCGTCGTTCGCAGAGACTAATATAATATAGCTCGTTCTCTTATCTCTCTCTTAACTTCTGCATATAGTGTCTTATATTTATCGCTTATTAAGATTATCGCATCGCAGATGCTATCTCTAGATGAGCGTTCCTGTGTTTATCGCAGTGGTATTATAATTGCAAAGATATAGTGATTTAGGATTCTGTCGTTAACAGTAGAGTACTGTCGTTCGTCTTAGAGAACTGTTGTAGTATAGGTAGTCGTTATTGCTGCTCGTGTCTTAATAAGTCGTTGTTTATAGAGATAGGGCGCATGCTGCGCAGCGTCTTCGCAACTTTAGTCTAGCTTATATAATCATCTAGCTAACGACCTGCAGGGATCTCCTGCTTCGACAGCTTAAGATCCTTATTAACTAGGCCTTTATACTCGTCAGATTTATTGCGCAGCATTACGCCTGCGTTAGCATTAGCAGGCGATGAGACTTCCGCGTCGTTAAGGAGAGAGAGGATTAAGATCAGCACAGTTTCTATACGCTGCATAGGCGACTAACCTGATGAGTATAAGAGCTTAGTTAACGAGGATCTTGAGCTGTCGAAGCAGGAGATCTCTGCAGGTTTTATAATGCTGACGCACGGGATAGCGTAGCAGGAGAAGAAGGACGAAGCAGACTTAAGATAAGTTAAGAGGATAGTGATGTTAAGAGCTTTAGAGAGAGTAAGAGTGATCTAGAGGAGAATAGAGAGATGGATTTAGGTATAGAGGATAAGGACGAGGAGGATAAATAAGTAAGACGCAGTAAGGGCATAAGACATAGCTTCTGCTATATCTCTCTATCGACGAAAATTTTAATGCAGGAAGGAGACTCAACATAAGCGATTAACGTTTACTTTAAGATTTGTAAATTATGTATAAAGGGCTATCCTTAGTTATTTCGTATTCGCTTCTGTTAATACTCTTATAGCGTGCGCAGTAAATCAATGTCAAATGTCAGCGAGTATAGGCAGTTGTATTCGTTTTAGTTAATATAGTTATTAACGTAGTAAGACATAGTAGTACGAGTTGTTAAATTAGGCAGATCTCTTAGTACCAAGTGCACTAGGCAGATAATCGTGCTTAGGTCGTAAAACTTAAAAGCTTGCAATATCTAGCGTTTAGAGGCTGCGTTCTAGGCCCGTCAACGCACACTCAACATTCTAGTAGTATTATCGATCTGTCTATTATTATTAAACAGCAATACCTTAGAGAATGCTCTAATATACGCTATATGTTTTCTATCTTTGTCGTAGCAGGTATAGTTAATAATTATAAGTATTAGGTAGAGCTAGGCTACTACTCTACTGTCTGTCACTGTCCTAGACTGTTGTCTATTGTCTCTATGCTTAAATTCTTATACCCAAACGTAGTCTCTACGCTAGAGGCCTATCTATTGCTAGTTAGGTGCGCATCTTATAACCTCCTCGTCGCAGTGTTTAGAGTTGTTGTATCTCTTGCTAGAGGACCGCTAGCACTTTATAGAAGAGTGAATCTATACACTTATATAGCTAACCTAAGATGAGTTGACATCTAAACAGTCCTTGTCGTAAGAAGTGATTAGTTAGCCTGCTGCTGCCTAGCGTTTGTTGCAGATAAACACTGCTGCTGTATATATAAAGTTAGATATTGCTATATTTGCAGCAACCTCGCTTAGAGGCAATTTTGTCGAATAAGGCTGTATTCCTAGTATTAACTATCTAAGCCTGCAGAAGAGAAGAGGGCGTGTTACTCTCATAGAATAAGTGCAATCTTAGATGTCGACAGTAGTAGACGGTTAACTCTATTTAACTACAGTAGCATAGTCAGCTGCTAGTAGTGCTATCCTCTAAGAATTATGCAAGCATATTTGCAGTATATACTCTTTCTTATTTGTTATAGAGTAGAACTATTTTACTATAGTAATATAATATGCTTCGCTGTTCGCTCTAGTGCATATACTATCCAAAGCTCTATACATGCGTATGTCTTATATAATATGTGTTAACGCGTGCTACTTAGGATAATTAAAGTTCTTCTCTTCCCCTAGCGTTCGCTAATACACTCGAAATTCCTCCTTAAATATATTCATCCTCTCTAGTGCTCCTTAAATATAGGCTAAGGTATCCTCGTTGTAACTCTTATATTACGCTAGTATAACTAGGTCGCATACTGCACAAATAAAATGCAGCGCAAAAGGCGCCTTTGATACAAACAACAGAGATACGACAGCTATAAGCTGTTATATAATTGCCTTTTGCTCTGTGCTAGTCTATTAGGAGACTTCTATAAATGCTCTCTTATTATTAAAACGCTTTAGGCCAGTACTATGCATTACCTAACAGAAGCGCTCGTTTAACTAAGTACTACTAGATTCTTACGTTACTAGTATAGTACTGTTATCCTAGGTCTTTCTGCTGCTAGGATAGATGTCGTCTAATATATCTTGCATAAAGTCTAGCATCTTCATTACTAAACCTTTAAGCAGCAAGTGCAATGTATCTGTTGCTAAAGATACGTAAATATTAAAGTTATAGTGCTTCTACCCGAAATAATTAACTAGATATACAAAGTCGTCGTGTCCTTTATTAAGACATCTCTCTTATTATAGCTGAGTAAATTGCTCTGTTCTCTATAGGTAAGATCTATATAAATCCTCTCTATCGTTAGGTGCAACAGTACAACGCGTGCAATAGCGATTTTTCTTTATACTAGTTAAGAGTACTTGTTCTTCGTAGTCAGCTAATATCGCGCAAATAGTTAGGTAATACTGCCTTATTCGTCTGTCTGCGCATGCAAGTAGTATTTTAGACTTAGCTGCGTTTTCTAGTGCTATATTAGACAGTAAGCAATAGTATTCTACTGTGCAGGCTGATATAGTAGTGCTTAAACTTACGTAATAGAAGCTTGCCTATGCAATAGTAATACACTTAACTCTTAAGAAGGGGATCACGAATCTTAGTTATAGGAATAAACCTAGCTAGAAGAGTACTAGGTGTCGATCTCCGACGTCAGGCTTTGCGGGATAGATTCCTAATTATAACGTAGACTAGCTATGCTGCTACATCTCCTAATATAAGTAAGAGTTATGTTTTGTTGACTAATATAATAATCAGCACGACTGTTGCTCTATCTAGTAGGCTTTATTGTATGTTCTACTACTAGTCTCTAGAATATAATTTATAATAAACGCGAACAGGATAGTCCGTATTGCCTAAGAAGAATTAGCTTAGAGCGTATACTAATTTATCTGCAAATAGGCGATAGCTGATTATAAACGCAATCAGCGACAAGATATTCTAATATACGAAAAAATGTTAGTCAGCTTTAAGTTCAGAAAGACTAGACGTCTTAGCAATATCCTCCTGTATCTAAATATTATCTTATATACTAGA